AGGGGCCGTGTAAAACGCCTCGCTCCGGGGGCTGAGGGGACGTTAAGGGTTTAAAATGGAGCGGTACGTCACTCTGCAGCAACACAGGCAGTCATAAACCCGCCAGGAGAGCTGGGTGACCGTGTTGATGTGTGCAGATTGCTGAGTAAAGCGTACGGAATTCAACTCAAATATGCTGCGTCTGTAGAATCATAGAATCGTTTAGGTTGGAAAAGACCTTTAAGATCATCCAGTCCAACCATTAACCTACACTACCAAGTCCACACTAAACCAATCAAGGGTAGACTAGACTAAACCATGTCCCGAAGTGCCACATCTACCCGTTTTTTGAACGCTTCCAGGGATGGGGACTCCACCACCTCTCTGGGCAGCCTGTTCCAATTCTTGACCACCCTTTCCGTAAAGAAATTTTTCCTAATATCCAACCTAAACCTCCCCTGGCGCAGCTTGAGCTCATTTCCTCTCATCCTATCGCTAACTACATGGGAGAAGAGACCAACACCCACCTCACTACGACCTCCTTTCAGGTAGCTGTAGAGAGCGATAAGGTCTCCCCTCAGCCTCCTCTTCTCCAGGCTAAACAACCCCAGTTCCCCCAGCCGCTCCTCATTAGGCCTGTGCTCCAGACCCTTCACCAGCTTCGCTGCCCTTCTATGTATCTCTATGTGTCTGCGTATCTCTATGTCTATGTACCTGTCTTGTGCTCCCCAAGCAGCAAAAGCTAAAAAGGAAAAAGCCCCCAAGCCAGCTGTAAACGCAAAGGATGCCGGTGTGCTACGATGAGCCACCCTTCAGATAACCTCGAAGCCCGACACTCGTGAGTGTTGCGCTTTGTTACCCAACCTCTGACCGTGACGCCGTCCCAGTATTGCACGGTCTTGCCATCACGGGTATGCACACCAGCAAAACAGAAGAACCAGATTTAAATAAAGAAAAACTCAGGCCCAAATGGGCATCAGCTGAACATTCTCTCCCCTTTCACATAAATAAAGCCATTTTGAAAAGTAACCTCTCCTTTTTTTCTGAACTGTTTTATTTGTAGTAAACACCCAGGAATCTCGCACGCGTATTTCTCATTGCCAGTAGCAAGCTCTTATGTGCTGGCATGTTCCTGCCATGCCAAACCCGAAATGATTACAATTGTATTCCCCAATATTTTGCAGTACTGCAGTAGCTTCTCCAAAGGGAAAAGAGTGAGTGGGATAAAAGGGATTTTCACTTACCAGTTTTCTTTTAAATAAATGTAATTTTGTATTCTTAAATTACGAGCTGGTTGGTTAAAAGTAGTAACTTCAATGTAAAAGGTTCAAAGGAATGATGATCAAAATACATGGAGATGACGACAACAAAAAGTATTCAGTGAAGCAGCAACAGGGTATTTTCTCTGAATTTAAAAAAAAAAAAAAGCTGCAGCTTGTAATAGCATTCATGTTTTTATTAATAAATCTAAAAATCAGTGCCAGCTCATCACTGAAAAACATGGAGGAGCAGCACATCTGGCTGCTACTCATGAGTTTCTTTTCACAAAAGAGAAAATCACCTAGTGGAAACCATTTACTTAAGTTTTTTCCTGTGCTCCCCTCCTGCTCTTTTTTTAATAATACCTTGCAGATCTGTCCAGCTGTATAACTTTAAAAAGCGAAGCCAGATAACGTGGAGACAGTTAAAACAAAAAGAGAATGCTACCCTGCACAATGCCACCGAAAAATCACCCAGCAGCTTGAATCTTGAGTTTTGTTGTCACAAGCTTGTGCAACAATGACCCAGGAAACCATGCTGCACCTGACCAAAAAAGACTTGGAAACATTAGTACACCCTACGGCAATCACAGTTGCACACCTGGACTTTCTGCCGATAATAGTTCATGGAGCAATTTGTTGTTGTGAAAAGTATCTCTGTTTTCAAGTACCCCCTACTTCCCTTTGAGAAGACGTTTCATCTTACAGCTCAAATGATTCAGGTTTTCACAAACAGAAACACTGGCTGCAGCTGCGTCGATCGGAGCCAGCACATACTTCACTGCCCCGACGAAATAAAGCTAAAAACCTTTTCCTGTTGTGGTTTAGTTTTTCAAACACAAGTGAAACAGAGCTTTCAAAAAGGTGCCCCGAAGTCAAGTTCCTATGGTTTCCAGTGTGCTCACCAGCACACTGTTTAGCCAAGGAATATGGAAATTACCAGAGACCTGAAAGGCTGCCAGAGCCATCCAAGCGAGGTTCCCTCCTCTTGACCTCCCCACCTCGGCCTACACTCGTAACGCTGATCACCCTGCAGAGACACTTGGGATAACGAGAGCACAAGTGGACAGGCCCAGCGACCTAAATCGATCACATTTTGCTGTTTTTACCTTCTTGATGATTCTGCTTAAAGGGTGGAGCTGTGACATTCGGGTGACTCTCCTGGGATCAGTTTTGTTTCACATCAATGGGAATTATGCCTCCATAGGAGCTGCAGCATTGGCCCTGTATCTCATAAAAGCTATTTGTCTTACACGGCCCTTTTCATGTACCAAAGCCATGGCTCTTAAACACAGTGTTTCAGCATGCAATCATTGTATTAAAACCTCAAGAAAATCCCAGAACACCCACTATACATTTAAATGTTAGTTTAGGTCTTTGGGAACATCTTGATTCTAAATTGCTGTTTAAAATCTGGGTGTTTCAGGCTTATCATTTCTATCACTTAATGCCAGTCAGCAGCCCCAACGGATAAGGTAAACAAAATAAATAAACTGCTCCTGGAATCAAGAGACACAGTGAAATCTTTTGTATCTTAGTTCAGATATATGCAGGGATTTTTATACATCCATTCAATATATATTTTTAGGTTTCTCATTTTCACTTAGGTTTCATCTACCGCTCTTGTTAAGTCTACTTTGACCATATGAGTAGTAGTAGATGATCCTCCTCGGAGACCTTCCAAGAAAATCTGTGGTCTGGGTACACTGCTCGAGTTGTCACGCTTGGTCTGGGTGCTAACATCTTTTGGCAAGTACACTTGGGTGGAGTTCTCTCTTCTCATATGGCTGAGATCAGTCTGCATGGCATGAGTTAATTTGCGGCGCAAATTGGCCTAAAGACACAAAAAGAATCAGATTAAGCAAAATTTTGTTTCAACATTTTGGCACTAGTGTATACTTAAGTGGTTTTGTATATTTTACATCTATGGGCTTCACAAACCTGGAACACAGCCCACTTCACCCTACTGTCAACGCACAGTTGCAACTGTGATTTGGTAACTCCTGAACTAACAGGATGTGCCAAGAGCACTGTATGTAGCCCACACAATTTTAAGTCAGCCTCTTACTGCTTTCGTGTTTTCCTTTCTGTCACAGTGCGTCAAATTTTGTTAAATGCTGGAGCCTTTGTTTTGTTAGAACAGAATGTTGTTTTCATGTTAAGCTCTTCCAGCGCTTCAGACTAATTTCAATGAGTCTGAAAGCACACTGAATAAGATGGCAGGCAGATAAATCCCTTTGGGCATCTGAAACCTAAAACAAGCTTGAGGATCCCAAATATTGTGGATAACCAAACTATAGGATCATGCCTTTGTCTGGTTTCAAACCAAACGTGACAAGGTTTAGGTGTTGGTGTCACAAAGTACCAGATAAAAAGGAAAAATGCCTTCTTTCAAGACCCTGCTTATTAACACCTTGGCAAGGGGCAAAAGGTAAGGTAATTTATGATTAAAGCTCTGTTTAATCACAGAAACTGCTGTAGATACAACAACAAAACCACTTCTCAAAAAGTGTTAATATTACAAAGTCAGCACTTCAAACAACAACGTTCCTTCTTCCAGTGAGCCTAGAAGGCTCACTTGTCAGCAATGATGTAAGACACTGTAAATATATGAAATAATGTTGTCATCAAAATACACAAAATCCAGTCAGCAGAGACTGGAGTCAGTGGAAGCTGGAGAGTGATTAAGTTGGCCAAATTCAGTGTTCATGTCAGCGTGAGTCAAAATATTCTCCTGACTCCACTAGCCAGGTCTCTAGCAACTGGAATGGAAGTTGAAGCACCTATATGTAGACTCATTTTGATATCTTAATCTACAACTGAATCTTATGCACAGTGTCATCAAGGAAAATACAGAAAAGAACAATAAGGAATTTACGGAAGAGGTGGCATGGAAAGAAAGACAATGTTTTAGTCTTTTTTTCTGAGGGTTTTAATGACAATTAAAACAAGAGCAGGCATGAGATACATGAGATACTTAGAGAAGTTTATCCCTCTTGAAAACTGAATGTATGCTATTGCCAGGAACTATGCTTGCAGAGAGAAACAAATGTGAGCTGAAAATTTTACTTCTAACATCAGATATGTGTTCTAACAAACTCCTATTTTAACACTTCCTATCACTGCAAATTTTCTGGCTAAGTATGAACAACAGGAAAAACCCCAAAGCATCTGAGGTCACCCTCTAACAAAACCTGCAAATATGTCCGATGCTCCCCTAAAACTATCAAATTCACAGATGCATTGGTAAGCTATTTCTGTTATTTTAGCACTTCAATTCTAATTATTGTATCATCTACAAATTCAGCATTAGTCACTGTAGACAAAACACTTTTGCATGCACCTGGGATTTTTTGTTTCAACTCAGCATCACTAATCTCCCATATGGACAGTTGAAGCTAAAACACCCTTAGTACTTTAAAGTACTAAGTATTTCAAACTAACAAGCTACAAATTTGCTTGTGAACAGTCTTCACGCTCAGCTATTGGAAAACATCCGCCTTTGCTTGTGCTAAAGATAAACCACTGACCACATCTTACATTTATTTATGTACTTTTGTCCATTACAGAAGCAAAGGAGGCTTTTAGCCAGGCCTCTTGTAAACCCAATCGGCTTCTTTATATCCCTCAGTAACAACTATTACTTGGAAACCTTTATAAGCCAGTTAACACTGGCAAGACTTCTCAGTCCAAAATTTTGGAACTGTGAAAATCAAGTGCTATACCTTGACAACTGCATGTGCTGGCAAACGACAGAAAGAGCTTCTTAAATGTACACTGTTACTTTAAAACTTTTTATCTATGTGGCTAACCTTCTGTGGACAGACTGTGATTTCCAATCCATCAGAAAATCATCATGATAGCATAACAAACATTTCCTCTGGATTATATGTACAACACAAAACCTACTTGCTCTGTTTCTTACTGCTCTGAATTGGTCCTACATGAAAGAGGAAAATTTGTTTTTCAAAAAGGGCAGAATTGTTTTTAGCAAACATGAAGAATGACGATAAAATGAAAAATATTTCATTATGCAAAAAAAAAAAAGGAAAAAAAAAAAGCCTCATGCTTTGATACCTTTCAAGGATGGATCAGTTAGCTCAAAGAAAGCTTCTGCAGGGTCAAACACATCCAAAGGGACTCCTAACCATTCTGTCTGCCAGTTACTACATTTTTCCTCTTCTTACTTGATGGTGATAAATATTAATATAAATTGCTGAAGTTGCAAAAACGTTTTGCCTGACCCAAACCTTTCTGCAACTTTTTTTTACAAGGAAAGTATATAGCAATTTCTTCAAACTATTAAATTCATTTGAGTGTAGAGAAAGAACTTAAAAATTCAATGCTAATCAACAAGCTCTTATTACTTAAAGCAGGCAAATGAAAAATTTCGAATTAATAGACATGACAGTGGAAGCACTGCTCAAAAAATTGGGGAAAATATGGAAAAAGTGTGGGAATAAGAAAGTCTAGAAATACACAGAAAAAATATCTGGAAAAAATATTGAGCCAGTTGTAATGGAAGTGTACATCTTTGAATAAGGTTAGATTTATGTTGTAAGGAACAAAAGTTTACAGTAATTTATTCTGTACTTTGTTATCCAACAATGAAAATCTGGTAATAACAATACAAACCAATTTTATAGCTTTTCTTCTCAGTTCCCATTCATTCCATTCATAGGACGTCACAATAGTTGGAGGCAAGATATGAGTATCAGTTTGAGTACTACTGTCACATTTTGCGGTTGGTTTCGTCAAACATTTGTCTGCATTTCTGGCCTGGATGAAAAAGAAATCAAAACCAAGCAAGACATTAATGAGAAGAATACAGACATCTAAGCAAAACAGCATATGGATATGCTACTTTTAAAAAGCAAATAAAAATCTGCAAACCACAAGTGGATAATGATTTTTACAGTAAAAACATTTTTGTTCCACCCTGCCCCTACTAAAAAAGAAGAAACCATTAAGTATTTGATGGATTTAAATTCTGACAGAAATCCCTTTAGGCAGAGGCCACAGCTGAATTTCAGACTCCCACATCCCAGCTGAGTGAGTGCTTTAATCATTGGATTTTGATAAAAAGGGATCCCACCACCACCAGTATTTTATGATGCAGGCACCTCAGTTTATCTTTATGAATGGACTAAAAATCACAAATCATAATTAGGAGAAGTGCTTATATCCCTGCCAGAGCCAGGATATAAACCATATCTTTCTCATCAAGAGCCAGTTCAAGACTACATACTTTGCATGGCTAGGGACCTAGAATTCACAGTGTATCACAGAGAATGTCTATCAGTCCAAATCAAGTCTTTGGATTTCACATCATAGCACTGTTGCATTCATTATTAATGAGTGCCCTTTCATTTTGTAATATGTTCCATAATTCCTGTCCCCAGATATCACTACACCCTCATCCAGCACATACTGATGAACTGCTGGGCGAAAGCTCCAGTTAATATGGTATCTGGATTATCTTCTGTTGCATTTATTTACTGTCCCTTTAAGCTACTTTTGCAAAAATGAGAAAAAGAAACATCAGACACAGGGTCTTCCTAGGCTAAGGACGAACAGCTTTTATCGCTGCCACAATCCTTTGGCTCTACATATTCTCCTGTGAAGAGAGAAGGTGAGAACAACATGAAGGGAAAACGTTTCTTATCAACACCCTGAAAACCTGGAAAAGATGGACCTTCAGACATTCTGTATGATAGGCAGATGATTATACTTCTTTTCTAAAGATGGGTATCATCTGTTCTCTTTATGTTCTAGAAAGGACAGACCAACCAGTGACCCAACAGCTATTCAGCAAGAGGCATGGGCAATGTATACCTGTGCATACGGAGCAAGGTATTCAAACTGATGACGAAGCTCGAGCAGATGAATTAGCTCTGCATGTTCTTTTGCTTTTTCTATGTTCAGCTGAATGAACTTATCTGGATCTTGAGCAAAGATGTATGCAGCTTCTTTGGAACTGAAAACATAACATCTTTCCTTGTGCTTCAAAATTCCAATAGCAGGATTTCCTAAAAAAAAAAGCCCAAAACAAGCCCCACAAAATAAACAGCGAACAGTATGATATCCAATACAAAAGACATTTGTAATCAAGATTCTGTGTTTCCTTCAAGACAGTTTCACTTCCTTTTTTTCTGTAATCAGAATCAATCCCTAAAAGTAAGCTTTTTAAATATAGAAAAGTCTATTTCCTTAAGTCAGTACAACTGCTTTTGGTCAGTTCACATCCAGCATGCCTGAGTGCATATCTGTCAGAAAGAGGCCTCTTCAGCATTAAAAGCAAACAACTGAAGAGAAATAATATGATACGGGATTATAAAACCATGAATTGCGTGCAATATAAAATTACTATTTGCTAATTTTCCTAATAGAACGACTGTCAGGTCTTTGATGAAATTATCAAGCCAGAGCTTAAAACCACCTGAAGAAGAGGTACCTTTTCATAGTATATATAATTATAATTGCGGGACTCTCTGACAATAAGAATATCCCATGGCAAACTCTAAATGGAATCAAAAAGCAATTAGATAAATGGAAAACATCTATCAAAGATTATTCAACAGAAAGGTACAGGCACAACATTTGCCCGAGGAAATCCCATAACCACTGACTGCTACAACGGGAAAGGATCTAATTAAGAAAGGATCATTCCTACTTGATTTCTCATAATCTTCAAGTGTTCATGACTGACCACATCCAGAAATTGGATACAGGGCTAGAGAGACCTTCAGCCTAATCCAGGACAGCTGTTCTCTCATGCAATACTACATAACTGTAAGTAATTTACATTGCCGTTAAAACATCTATTTTTCAATACTGCCAAGAAACAGCAGTATTTTCATCCCAACCTCCTGTAGGTTTAAAAAAGTTCTATATGGATAGGTTCTATAAAAAATAGGGAGACAGAAGGCATGAACTGATGGGGTAGCTGAAATAAGGCTTGCTTTCAAGACAAATGACCCTAGAAGATAAAAAAAAAAAATCCTATGATTAGTTGACTTAATCAAGTGCACTTTTGCATTCTTTTCAGAGAAGATTTTTGGTACTTTATATCCACTGTTTAAAAATACATATGATGTAGGCACGAATGGGTCCATCTGCAACAGACAGATACACAAAATAGAAGGAATGACCATTTATTTTCCTATGCCTGTATTAAAACACATTAACAACAATAAAAAGCCCTGCATTCAGCTGCAGTGTAGGTTATACAGATGCACATATAGCAGGAGGAAACATTTATCCATCCCATGTTGTTTCCACCTCTGCTTGCTTCTGCCTACTTTCTCTCAAAGCCCTCCTACCTTCTCTTTAGGGCAGTTTATTTGTGTTTTTTTAAAACAAAAATACTTTAACAGGGGAAGTAAGTTATCTGGTGTGAAAATTACAAACGTGAAAATACAGTATGTCAGCTTTGACATAAGAGGATGCATTCAGAACATGTCTTTACATTTTCACTAGTACTTGTGTATGTATAAAGTATGGAAAAGACCTAACTACAAAGCATACCTGGGAGGATGAGGCCTTTCACACCAATTGCATGTGCACAGAAACCATGGTACTGGATTAGCAACTGGTCAAAATTATCCGTAGTCTCTGGAAAAAGCCATTCTTGGTTCTTGAAATCAGAAACATTCACTCTGGTTCCTAAGAAAAGGTTTAACAAAGGAAAGATTTCAGTAACAAAACATCAGATGTTTAAAATACAATAATGTTACAGGGTGACAGGATTACTGCTGTCTTCACAGGGTGGCCTGCAGTGCCAAGATCCCAACAGCAGAAATTTTGGCCCTGCCTTAAGAGAGATCCTACTGAAAAGTCAGTCCTGCAGGAGCCTTCTTCAGCAGCATTAGTTTTCTTTGGAAACAGGGGATGAGAACAGGAAGGTAATATCTTATTCTTCTATTTCGTTTTCACCCCCTCATGCATTACAGATCCCCTGGAGTACAACTTGGTTACTAGGGATACCATCTTACAAACAAATACTACTGGTAACCAAAGCCCCATTAAATTAGCTTTTTTATCGCCCCCTCCATTTCAGAATTTCTGAAAGGTATAAGAAGACATAAACAAACTTAAGAAATGTCAAAAAAATGTAGAAATATTATTCTCTGATCATTCTGCCATTTTTACAAGGTATATTTGTATCTAGTAGCTATATTTTAATTTTATATGCAGAAATAAAAGCCCAAACTACACTACATGAAAAATAAATCCACACACTACAAGACTCATTTTAATTTGCTGTGCAAAATTCTGATTATTAAAAAATCAATGTGTAGCACCTTCTGTAAATAAAATTCAAGCCACAAAATCTTGGAAAATGAAGGAAAACAAAAAAGTAATAACTTTCAGTACCCATGGTTTCTCTTATCCTTTCCTCATCACTTTTCACAGTCACTCCTTCCAGAAGAGATGTTAGCACTTCCTCAGGAAAAAGCTGTGATTGGATTTCCGAGAACTGTTGGAGGTTGTTAGTCATATTTGTGAGGAAGCTTAGCAGTCGTATCTCATCCTGAAAGCCGGTCCAGAGGTTAGAAAGTGCAACAAAGAGAGGCTAGAAAATAAAGAAAATTATCTGAAATGCAGATTTGGTTTGTCTGCAGCATAACCCAAGTGCTGTAGACAACAATCCCTGCTATAAACAAAGCGGGGCTGATCTCCAAGGCCTTCAGCATTCAGATATTCCAGGGGAACTCCTGGGCACTGTAAGAGGAGCTCCCATCATGTATGCCCAAAGCACGTATGTCCAGCATGTATGCCCATAGGCTGGAATGGTACTTTTCTACATTTTACTCCAAAGCCTTTCCCAAATAAGTTACTCTGAGACCATGCTTGGAATTGAGTGCTTCACTGACAATACAGTTTTATAACTGAAAATAAGGCATACAGGAATAAGAAGGACCAGAAGAAATGCACCTGGTTAACTACCAAATGGAGTAAAACCACACCTATAGGTACAAGCTATTAGGCTTTGTTATTTTTTCTGCCCTGCTTCCAGAGTGACTTAGTACCACAGCCCCCAAGCCATCATGTGTGTCAAATTAACGGTGTGCAAGCCTCTTCTGAGTGGTACAGGGTTCAGGACAAAACTGGACGCTGCCATTCCCAGCAGCGATGCTGACATACAGGTGTACATACATTCAGAAGAAGCCTACAGGCTTTAAGTATAAACGCTGCTTTCAATGGCAGTGATATAAAACGTGCCCTGTAATGTCTAAACACACAGAACATTTACGGGAAGACATTCAACAAATCTGAAATGCACGCTAACAACATTATATTTCATGCATGTTAACAACATTATTGTAAGAACAGCCAACAGAGCCAGCTCTGGAATTCATCTGCATCACTAACGCTGTGGAAATGTTATGGTTACAAAAATGGAAGAAACTTAAGGAAGGGCAGCAAGATCAAAATCATTCTTACTAGAATAAACAAAGAATATTAATGAAAGCTACTATGTTTCCTAAAACAAATGTTTACTACAAATATAGGCCTTATTCTACGGTTTTTAAAAGACAGAATGCCCTGCTTCTCTACATTTGTAGAGGATCCAGCTTCTCAGCAACTAGATGAAGACAAGAACTATTTAAATGATGTGTTAATAGAGAAATCTCTACCTGCAAAAGACCTGAAATCAAAAGACATTACATATTCTGTCTTCAGCAGAGAAGAAAATACAACTAACCAGCCTGAAGAGAGAAGAAAATCTAGGAAGGAAGCAGACAACAGCAGACAGCTTCTAGGGAAAAGTGTGTACCAGTCACCTAAGCCCCACAAAGATACAGAAGAAGAGAAAACAACTGCTTTGAGCAGCTGGACGAGAGGGGAAAATGTTCTCCAAATGTGAACATCTGGCTTATAATATCACAAGCAGACATAAACTGAAGCATCAGATCACATCTGCGATGTACCTCAGTTAAAGTACCACTCCCATGAGTTTCCAGCTCAGATGCCCTTACAGCAAGTGTAAAAAATATTCCGAGTAGGTCGTGGGGGCATGATCTTCCTCCCTCCTCCACAGTAGACTTTATTTTGCTTTCTAATTATTTGTTTAGAAGGATGAAATATAACCTAACATATGTATGAACTGCATGCTAGCTCAACAGCTAACTACAAGGAATTAAAATGATAGGCATATCACACAAAATAATGCGCTCTTCCATGAAAAGCAAATTAAACGAAGCTGGTTTCTGACACATTTCTCTCCCATTTCCTTTACACCATGCCATCACAATAATCCCAGGTTCTCACAGGGCCATCGAGCACCCTCCTTCACAATACCTGCAGTTTGCATCACTCATTCCCTCTTCCTCCAACACCTCCCTCCCATGTCCTGTAGCTCCCAACCAAGGGTGAAAGTACAGAACATCGATCGCGCAGAGCTACGTGGCTGCTCACTGGCCAGACAGCACACAAACCAGCACGTAATTGTGGCATTCCCATTTCAGACTTGATCTTAGGACAGCTCTAATTGTGTCTCTTTAGTTGCTTGTTTTTCACAAAACTGGCACAAAATGACATATTTTGGGATCTCTGGACTCTGACAAATTTGACTGAAACTGGCTAACAGGTTCAGAAGCTATTGGGAGGTGCAAAGAGGCTGAAACCCCCATCGCAGAAACCTGATTTCTTTAGGAAAAGGATATCAAGGACTCATACTGTAATTACAGGAATTGCTATCTGAAAGGACTTTAAGAAAATTACACTCTGATGCGCTGTTATTGTGTTCTTACTATTTCTGCAAGGAACAGGAGAATATATACGCAAACCAGGAAAATATCACTGTACTACAAATACTGACAAATTACTCAAGACACTTACAGTAAAACACCATTTAATCCTTTCTCTCCCTCTTTGTACATTGCTTTTCTTTTAATTTGAGATCAAGTCTTTTAGTTTAGTTGCCACTTCAAAAATCACAGATGCTGTTATAATAAAGAGAAAATAATGTGGCCTTTTTCTTAACACAAACTATGCAAAAATACACTGGTAAAGTATTTTGTAATACTTTAGTAATTTTTTATAATTAAGAAAAAATAGGTTTTCCATTCAAAATACTTACAAAAACTTCTTTGGTATCTACGGAAATCTTATTCTGCACCGTGTTTTTCAGCTGCTCCATTGTTGCTGCAAACTGCACATTCATCTTTTCAACTTCTTGAGCACTTGTAATGGCATCACACTGGAAAAAGAACTTACTTCAGGTAAGAAGTATGACAGTCAAAATTCAAGTATTTAGTAAGCAGTGTGTATTCGTATCTCTTCATTGAACGATTTTCAGACAACTGTTTTAAGGAACGAAATGCACCCTAACTTTCCACAAAATGCATTTTTCCTTAAGTGTTCAGGTATAAAACCAGGTGCTTCTCTCAAACATATACTAGTAATTTTTATAGAAAACCTCTACATTTTTATAGTGAAGAGAACTGGAAAAAATTTAAAAGAGAAATATTTTTCCAAGCTTTATGACATACAGGAAGAACTAATTAAACCCTGCAGTTTCTCAAAAGACAAATTAAAAGGTCTTCATAAACAAAACAAGTTTCAAGAATTTAAATTGTATTCTTCAAAGACTTCCGATGACTCCATATGTGTTGGGGATGTCTGCAGACTAAAACTGAGGTGCTTTATGGATTGAACAAGGAGATTTTTTCTCTCATGCCTTTTGGGGCAGAGTGACTATCAATATACAAACAAGAAATAAGTCCTACTTTTTTAGTCCTTTGTTAATGAAATTAAACCAAAAAAGGAAACCTCCAGAAATTAAATGGAAGCACAGTCGCACTGCAGCAAACAATTAATTCATTATGTTTTACCTGACAGTAGCCAAACCCAGCAAGTTAGGTACAAAGTTCAGTATGACAGATGATGTAGATGCTCATATAGTGAGATAAATTTGATTTCATTTATTTCTGAATCGTTTTTCTGATATTTTTGTCCTGTATAAGTAGGTAACTTGAATACATTCCATCTGCAATAAAACCCCACAGGATATAACATGATGGTATCTCACCAGAAGGATGCAAAGGAAGGCCTCATATTGTCTCACGTTGAACAGCGCTTCTTTTAGTTTAAAAGAACTAAGCTGTGTATATCTGCGTTGGTCTTCCTGCATGGATTCCAACAGAGCTGTGTACTGGTGGGCTAGTGTATGGCAAGTATTAAGACCTTCATCGACAGTCCGTGTAGCTGACGGAATGGCTTCATTCAGAATGGCTGGCACTGTTTATATAGAATAAATATGAGATACATATAAAAAGGATTGTTTAAATCATTAGCAAAAGATTACAGTGAAGATTACAGTGCAGTATTTGAGCAAAGTAGGCTTCCAATAAAATCGCTAAATTTTGTCCTTAATTCATGCATTTCCAAATGCTTGCATACTAGTTTCAACCACTGTACCTTACTAGTCAAGTGGTTCCAAATAGTGAGAATTACAGGTGTGGAAATATCACAGTCAAGTCAATGACTGTGAGAAAACTTGCTTTATGATGCAGTTCAGCTGATACTACTGACATGGGTTTCCTGAGAGACTTTAGGCAATCTGCACAATTTTCAGTTCTCAGTTTCCTCTAAAACTGGGCTGCAGACCAGTTACAAAGAAGTCTCCACACTGAGCTACAATACTACATGCATATTCACAAAAACATTTCCACTGACAAGGTTTCAAAATGCGAAAGATTTTTGAGAACATGTTAAGACTCTGAAGAGGTTACTCCAAATTATCAGAATACAGATAATGCCCCAGCAACTTTTATCACTTCTCATTACGCATATGCAACAGAAAATTGTAACTGGATTGACAGTGCCCTTTCCAGATTTTAATTACATGCTTTTAAAGGCAAACATTACCTGTTTAATTCACTTAATGGCAAGGGATCAGGGAAAAGTTATCATGAGGTAAATAAGTGCATGAAGTTAATACATATAATCCTTCCACATTAACCACATAGGGCTCCTTCTTAGCTAAAAAGTAGTAGCCTACGCGGAAACCTATAACTAAATACCAAATATGTACTTTTCCATCAGGTTTACAGACCCTCAGTCAAAGCTATTTATCTAGAGAGATGGGATATTATTGGAGCTGCTCCAGTGAAGAAGGCCAGGAAGAATTAACTGGGAATACACAGCCCAAATGCAGTTGTTTACTTACAGTCATCAATGCCGCTTCCTCCTTTCCTGCATTCCTTGTTGTACAACCGAATTCCTGTGACTAGCATGGCGAGCTTTTTCAGCTGTTGCTCTTTGTTCTTCTTACTGAGTGAGAGGAAAGTAATCATCTCTGTCTGGGGGAATACACTCTGCAGGGCAGCTAGAAGCATTACAAAGGGTGAGAAAACCCTCAATATGAGAGAACAGAAAAGAATCATTAAACAAGCAAAAACACCCTCTCCTGAACAACTGCAAAAAGTAGGAAATCCATGGCAAATTTAGACTTCACGGTTGAGCAGTGACAGTTTGGGTAGCAAGCCGTCATCACAGTTTACCACATCTGTATCTAAAGATCAGCAAAGAGAAGGTGAAATTTTAATTTTCAAGAAGAAAAGCCCAGTTTCACAGCTGGGAGTTTACTGACCTGTCACCTCCCTGACAACCTCAATATCTGTTGGGGATCCCAGGCCAGAGCTCAGCAGCATGTAGCTAATGATCTTTCGATACACATTCTCCATTTCTTCTTGCACACGAGGATGACTATCTGTGATATCTCTGACCACAGGAGCCAGCCGTCTCTCCAGAACATGATGCTGCTCACTGAGTAATTCAGCTAGGAAAGAAGGACTGTTAGAAAGTGCTATCTAAATTATTTGGAATTTGGGTTACACAGAGGGTGCAATTCATTGCCACAGTCAGAGCACCAACTTAAGGTTTCTGAAGCACAGATGTGTGAAAGAGATGTTCAAGGTACCATACCATTATAATTAACAACAGTGGAGTTAAACATTAATATAATTAGCACGATTAACATCAGTCAGTAGAGTCCAGAGAACTATTCAGGCCAAATTAAGCAGCAAGTCTCTGGCTCTCTGGACTCCTCTGACTGCAGCAGGATCTAACACACACACACAGACACACACACAGACACACACCACACACACACACACCCCCCACCCC